AAGACCATGTATAGGGATGGCAGACAATGGTCCTATAAGTGTATTTGTATGATCTGAATTCCCAGGTGTATAGTAGAACTGACAAGAGACAAGGTTGTAGTCACTTCTTGGTCACAGCCAGCTACCCAGAGGGACCAAGTAGTTGAACCTGTGGGCTCAGGACCATAGTCACAGTGGATATCAAGATCAATTGGCATAACATACTACACAAAACATTGTTCCACCTCCTACTTTGGTGAGTAGCGCCTGGGATCTTAAAAGCTTGCAAACAGCCATCTAGATGCTACAATGGGTCTCTCCTCATCCAGGGCAAAGAAGAATGAAGAAAACCAAAGATTCATAGAAAGAATTAGTCCTAGCGACTGGGACATCATGAGATCCTCAGCCTATATTACTATGAGACCAGAAGAACTAGATGGTGCCCAGCTACCAATGTCAACCACTCACTCAGAGGTGGATCGATGTAGGAGACCCTGGATAGAGAGAGAGAACAATGTGGAACAAAACTCAAAAGCATTTGGAAAAGAAAAAAAGGGGGACCAGGTTTGCTGGTCTGATAGAGCCTGGTGGAACCACTGAGACTATGGCCCCTAATTCCCCTTCAGGTCTAGAATTGAACCCACACCTGTGGCTTCCAACTAAGCAAAAGACAGTCATAGGAGTTGAGCATTTACCTGAGGTAAATACACTCCCTGAAGAGAACAATCATTGGAGAAAGAAGGCTGTTTATGCACCAGGAGAGAGCTCAGCGGGGAGGGGTGCATGAAGGGATAGACACAGGGAAGAGATGACTGCCCGGGAGGAAGTGGGAGGGGAGCTGTTACATTGTGGTGAATTGCAGTCAATGCCATGAGACAAAATGTATGTGAACTGCTGTATGGAGAGTGAATTTACTCTGTAAATTTTCACCGAAATCACACACACACACACACACACACACACAAAGAACAGGAACCTAATATATTATGTAAACTACCACCTTTAGATCCGGTATCAAAGTATATTACACAGCACAAAGTTTCAAACATTAAATACTTGAGTGTTCTTTGCTTGGTAAAAAAGAGGTCATTTGCCATTCAAAAATAGGAACATGACAATTTCATTTGATACACATTAAAACAATGGGGTATCGTTTTTCATCTATCCTATTAGTAAAAATTGAAGATCTGACAACATTCAGTGATGGTAACAGGGTTGGGCTATGGACACTCTTATATACCACACCTGGGAATGTAAACAGATCAACCTCTCTAAAGGGCAATCTGATAACATCTTTCAAGATATAAATCTTTATGGTCCCCACTAAGACACTCTGGTAGTGCAATGGTTAAGTGCTCAGTTGCTAACCTAAGGTTGGCAATTCAAACTCACCCAGCAGTTCAGCAGGACAAAGACCAGGCGATCTGCTCCCATAAATACTACAGCCTAGAAAACCCTATAAACCAAACCCAACTCACTGCCATCAAGTCGGATCTGACTCACAGTGACCCTTCCTTGGGTTTCTGAGGCAGTCAGTATCTCTACACAAGTAGATTGCCCAATCTTCCTTTCAAGGAGTGGCTGGTGGGTTTTCACCACCAGCCTTCTAGTTAGAACTCAAATGCCTTAGGCACTACAATACCAGAGCTCCTATTTAAATAATAAATACTTAAAAAGTACAACTCTAAGAATATTTATTAATAGAAGCTGTGAGAAACTAGAAAATAAACTGTACCACTACTATGAATGAATATCCTGCAAATTCTTTTTAAAATGCAGCTTTTTATTTACTGATACAGAAATAGCCCCAAGATATATTTAGTGAAAACAAGGTAACAAGTTGTAGAACCCTATACATAAAAGAACCATTCTGTAAATCTTTAAATTCAATCTTCATTACTCATGAATTCCATATATTTGAATTTGCCTACTCACTGAAATCTTATTTGTAATTCCAAAATCAATACTGTAAGGACAAACAGAAATTAGAAGAAAGAAGGAATAAAAGGCGAGAGGCTTAAGTCTCTCTGATGGAAAAAAACAAGAGGCCTCATATGTTTCTTAGACCATTTACTTTAGAAAACTTGTAATCATAAGTTTCTTTCTCTGCCTTTTCGTAATGTATATAAATCTTTTTAAAGCCTAAATCACGTCAATTTTACAATTTGTTTCCTCAAGTACCTGGAAGCCACCTCTTTGAAATGTACTCAAGGAAGACAGCACCCCTATCTCCCAGTTTCCTGAGAAGATATGAGCCTAACTTCAGCTAGCCTTGACTCCAATTTGCAAACCTACCTCCCTTCATAAAGATATGAGACTTTTTTTTTTTTTTTTTTTTTTTGTCTTTAGATAAAGGCAATTAACAAACACAAGTGGCTATCCTGATTATCAGGTGAATTTAGGATCAATAACAAATGGTGCTATCTAGTCTTCTTACTTGAGGACTAGTTTTCATTTATTTTGAGAACATGTATGAAATAAATTATATGTATCTGCTTGACATAAAAGGATAAAATATTTTCTGCCTCTGCTATCTCTTTAGTGGATTTCCTGTGATGTAAATCACACTCTGGCTTAATGCTTATTCAGTAATAATACTGTCTTTTTTCTCTTTATTTTGTGAAGAGTTTGTCAAGGTTGGCAGTAGAACTTATTTTTAATTTTCTTTCCCAACAACATATAAAGGCACAAAAAATATGACTTGCACAATGAGCATGTTCCTAGCTGAGGGTGCACAAGGTGACACTCTGTCTTCTTGTTTCAGTAACCAGTAACCTTTTTGTGGTTTATTTAATACCACATTTTTGCATTTTTGCTGGTGGTTTCATTTTTTAAAATGGCTCTCAAGTCAAACACAAAAGGGCAAATATTATATGATCCCACTTACAAAAATATCTACACTAGGAAAATGCATAGAGACAAAAGTTTATTAGAGGTTATCAGGGGATAGAGAAAGGGAGAAATGGAGAGTTACTGCTTAAGGGGTACTGAATTTCTGTTTAAGGTAACAAAAACATTTGGAAATTGATAGTAGTGATGTTTACATAACATGGTGGGTATAATTCATGTTACTGAATTGTACACTTAAAAATAGTCAAAACAGCACATTTTTTGTGTGTATTTTACCATACACACACATACATACACACAGAAAGGCCCCTAAACATAGCGCTGAGGGGCTGTCTAGTGTTTCTAAGCAGAAGGTGGAGTGTTAGATAAGCTTCTCATTCGTGTTCAGGTTATATATAGTCTGCTGGCTGTGAAATCAATTTTAATGAACCCACAATATATGTTAAATATCTTTAAATAGAAATATCCATAAAAGAAGGTTTTGTATTGATCAGCTGATGAAAATATTGTGAGCAGAGGCTTATTGGAACCTAACCTGTATTTCCCCTAGAGCAATGAATGGTTCAGTACTCACTAATTCAGCATTCATGGCAATTTTAGAGATCATAACTACAGGAAATAATGAGACTCTACTATATATGCACAATGGGGAGAAGGGAAAAAAGAGGAGACAAAAAAGGCTGGAGGTTGTGAAAAGCTTTAACTTTTTGTTTTATATCTTTATGTATTGTTTGAGTTTTCTTACCATATATATGCATTGCTTCCTTCTAAAATGGCCAAAAGTGACTGTGGAACAAGCCTCCAAAATGACCCCAATGATCCCACATTGTACTAGTGTTGGTCTGTGTGACCAATACAGAATAAGTGATGGTATATCACTCCTAGAGCAACATTTGTGAGGATGGCGTAGGACCAGGCAGTGTTTCATTCTGCTGTACACTATGAATCAGAACTGACTTGACAGCACCCGACAACAACATATTCACTTCTAATATTTGGTTATAAAAGTCATGGTGGCTTCCATTTTGGTCTCCTGTTCTCATCTCTTTTAGATGACCCACTCAGCATGTGGTCATTGAAGTTGTGTGTCACCTTGGCTGGGCCTGGTTTTGAGTGGCTGGGCAGTTGGATGTATTTATTCCTCATGTTGAGACTGGTAAGCAATTCCATGGTAGAATCTACAGGAGCAGTAGCTGCCTTAGGGATGTGGTCTGCTTCCAGTATATAAGGAGAAGTTCTGGGAATGGTCTGCAGCTATTTGGCACACTCAGACCCTACATGTAGCCGAGTCTTCATTAGCAGCTTGCCATGTTTCTTAACGATTTTGGGACTGTCTCTGGACTTGAATTAGTGGCCTGCCGTATTGTTTGGTTAATACTGGGACTGTGCTATTTTTATTTATCAACCTTGGGCTTGTTACCCTCAGCATCCAGCAGCTGCCTGAGTGAAGAGATACATCTAGCTCCAGGGGACCGGGAGCAAGACAAAGCTGAAGCCCAAGGTCAAGGGGCTTTCACCCAGCCCCTAGAGCTTAGCACTTTGAACTCAGACTTCTAGCCTCCAAAACTGTAAAAAAATAAATCCCTGTTTGTTCATGCCATCCATTTGTGAAATCTTCTGTTAGAGCGGCACTAGTGAACCAAAACACAGAAGAAGCCAGTTACTATGAAAAGAGCCATGTTGTAAGGAACTAAAGTCTGTCCAAACCACACGAGTGATCTTTTTTGTTTTACTTTTCACATGAGTTGTCTTGGAAGTGGAGGAATAACTTGACTGCAACCTCATGAGAAACCCTGAGCAACCTTCCAGTGAAACCACCCCCAGATTACTGACCCTCAGCAACAGTGAGCTAATAAATGCATGCCATTTTAAATTGCTAACTTTTGTGGTAATTTGTTAAAGAGAAATAAGTAACTAATACAAAGATTATCTGGGCTCTGGGATTATATACCTTTTTTTTCCTTTTTTGTACTTCCTTATTATACATATATATATTTAAAAAAAAAACCTAATAAATGTTATTTTAAAATTATTTTCAATGTTTCTGAAGGTTAACTTCCACTGAATAATTATGACAGAAATAAACTGTTTTACTTACTTGGAACTCTTATCTGGTAGTGATTAAGTGCTGTAAGAGCTTCTACTGCATCAGTTTTGCATTCCCATTCTAATAGCCCAGAAAGTGTTTTGGCAGAAGCTAAAAACAAAACAAAGAAATACAAGTCCAGTTATTTGCTTATCATAAACCACCAAAACCTTAAAAAGAGAGAATGTCTACTTACGTTTTGCATCAAACACTTTATATTTGATGAATGTAAGAACTTCATGGTCATTACATAACTATCAAAGAAAAGTAAAAATTCATTAAAAACATGACCAAAATAATATTTCCACTTCTTTCAGAATATTAACTTTATTGCAGAACTTAATTTTTGAGTCTGACATGAACAAATTAAATATGCTTTTAGATTAATATCAAGTTGTACGAGAAAAGCAATTTAAAAATAGTGAAATTATGTAAATTAATGCTGAACAATAAAACTACAGATTTGTAACTGAAATGTATATTCTCATAGCTGACTAGGATTTATTTAGTACCTAAGGAAGGGAGTGGAGCTTCAGAAAACCAGTTCTTTTCTGAAATATTTTTTTAGTTAGTTATTGTTTAGTTACATAAATGTTTGTTATTAGTGAGACTTATGGACATAGCAAAAGAACTTTCTAAATAAAAGAGTAAGGGTATCTCATTTTAATCCCAAAATTCAAAAATATTGAGCCAAAAGCTAACAAAAGACCAATGAAGAATGAAGTACAGTGGTGAAAGAATGAACTACATAGTACCAAATAAATAACAGAGTACTAATAATATCAAAAGCAGAAGACAAAAAGAGCAAGAAGATATTGAAATGTATTTTAAAATAGCAAACAGCAACATTTGACACACACTTGTATTTCAGTGGCCAATGCCTACCTTTGTGAAGGTCTCTTCTGTGACACACAATGGAACATTATAATAATGTAGCACACAAGAAGGCGGCTGGATTATATTCTTAGATGCTTGGCCAGCACTTGTAAAGCGATTATTTTTGCTCATTGCAAAATCCTTATAGCTACTTGTACCATCCTCCAGCTCAAATATTTGACTCGGAACAACTGAATGTTGTTTAGATACACTATAAAAAAGAAAAAACACATAGATCATACCCAGTGTTAGATAAAAAGCAGCAAGTAGTCTCAAAATACTAACATATTTTATCCATATCAATCTTAAAAAAAAAAACAAGGATAGGGCTTACCAAACTATTTAAACACAATATTTACTTTGAATTAAAATCAATCATTTTAATAGTTCACTCATCAATTAGAAAGCAAATCTATTATTCTCATATTATAAAACTTTAACATAATAACTTCTATTTTAACATACTGTTTTATGATTACAAAACTAAAAACTAGGTATACCCCACTGCCATCGAGTCAGGTCTGACTCATAGCGACCCCTCCTTGGGCTTCCAAGGCAGCATCACTACAGAAGTAGATCGCCCAACCTTCCTTCCAGGGAGTGGTTGGTGGGTTTGAACCACCAGCCTTTTGGTTAGCAGTCAGATGCCTTAGGCACTATGCCACCAGAGCTCCCTAAAAACTAGGTATAGATAACAATATTTGAATTATAAAAACCCTAATATTCTGTCCAAAATGGCAATACTACAGTTGCTAGTTTCAGATGTGCTGTCAGTTACACTGAAATATTCTGAAGTAAAATTTAAAGTCTCTAATAAAACAGATAAATATTTTTAAAATATAAAATATATTTTTAAAAAAACTTAACACTTAAATAATTACCAAACATTAAGTCTTTTCCCAAATAATTTGACGTTATTAAGGTGTGTGACAGCTCTTTCTACTGCATACTCATCACCCATTTCCACTAGGGCTGTACCTGGAATAGTCTTCATAAATTTTACCTGTAAATACAAAAATCCCCCCCCCAAAAAAAGTTGATCGCTTATAACTTTTACAACACAGAATTATTTAAAAAGTAGTATGGTTTAAGGAGTTAAAAGTCAAATATAGACTATCACCTGGGATCGTAACTTTATTCTGCTATGTGTTAAGACACCCTTAACTCTTATAAAAAATTCAATAAAGCTAACTATCTTAGAAGACTGTAATTCTGACTATTGTACAGCCCACTGAAGAATAACACATGCTTCTCCTGGCTTTGTTACTTACTGGTTGTGCAATCTGGGGTAACCAATAATCAAAAAGTAAATAATAATTACAGACTATGCAGAGTGCTGTTAAGGCAATAAATACAATACTATATAAGAAATAACAGGAAATGGCATGGTCAGGGAAGATCTATGCAAGGTTTGTTGCTGTTGTTACGTGCTGTCGAGTAGGACCCGACACATGGCGACCTCTCCTTGGGTTTCTAAGGCAGTATCACTACGGAAGTAGATTGCCCCATCTTCCTTCCAAGGAGTGGCTGGTGGGTTTGAACCACCAGCCTTCCAGTTAGCAGTCAAGTGCCTTAGGCACTACGCTTCCAGGGCTCCTCTATGCAAGGTAGAGGCAGTTTAAAAAGTAGGCAGAAGCCATACTCAATGTCTCATATTATTCCAACTTTAGTATGTAATTGCCGTAAAGGTTACATGGATAAAGTATGATAATCACTTGGAATAGTGCCTAGCCCTTGGAAAGACTCTATCAATAGTCGTTAATAAGTACAACATAATGTGGTACCTTGAACATATTTCCTTCTTATCTGTCAATCTCAAAGAAATACTGAGGATATATTATAGTACTTACAAATGTACCATACCATTTCTTTCCATCACTGCAACTATCAATTTTAGTGGGCTATCTTTGCATTTTAATTCTATGCCTGTACTTTAACAAAACTCAACTGTAGCAAGATTTTTCAGCTTTATTTGAAATCCCTTGTATTCTTGTAGGAAAAATTCCTCTCCTGTGATTTTATTCAGTAACAACTCACAAATATAATAGTGACTAAATATATATGTTAAATATGTAGTTCTTCTACTGGTAAATCCCCCCCAAAAAAAAAACAGGAAAACTTTACTATATAGATCTTTAAAAGATTATAATAGCTTGAGTTTTAATGTGATCATAATGCATTATTTTAAAATGTCTAAAAATAACTTTAAAGAGATATAAGGTGACAGAGACTAGAATTAGTCAAATAACAGAGAACTTAAGCTGTATCAGAAAAAATGGTTTAAGTTTCTAAATCAGATGAGTCAATTAACTTATAACACAAAAATACCTAGACCTACTAAAAATGTTGATTACCTAATTCTGGTATATGAAAAGCACAATTTAAAAAGTAACACTATTTAAAGAAGATTAAAATATACACTAAAGCCCACTACTAAATGGGCATGCATTTCCTTGATCTAAACTAAACACTCAAGTATTTAGAGAAAAATCTGAATCACTTTTCCAGTACCATCACATCTGTCCCACGTATATTCTGGCCAGTTATATAATCAGTTATAAATGTTAACCCCCAGATCAAATGTGTAGTTTTCTTTTTTGTTATTTTGACGTGGTGAAATAATCACATGAAGAAAACCCTTGTATCAGTGATTTTCCCAAATTGCTTCCTCAGATCAAGAAAGCTTCAGAATAAAGAGTACAAAGTACTTTTCAAGTCACGCTCACCCTTCCACACACTCACAATTCACATGCATGCACTTTTTTTACTGCTATGAGAAGAACATTAAAAGCACTTAAAACAACAAGGAACAAAACACTATTCCAGGATGCAAATTCAAATTAGCAAATGTATCAAACATTTAAGTGGTGATGTAAGAGGGGTACTCATTTCCCCAGCTGAATGTCACATGATCCTTTCAAAAAGATTGTAGCATCTACTAATTTCCATGCACTATTCTAAGTATTTGTGAGACATCATGAATAAAACGTCACAGGTTTTGGAGAACCAGAATACTACCTAGTACAAATAAAGTTGTAATTATTAAAAACCTTCAAAATATCCCAATTTTAAATGTTCTGCTACTCTTTGAATGCAAACCTCTGGTCAGAAAGTGGCTGAGTTTCAAATACAGATTGAGCTAAAGAAGCACATTGTTTCTCAGAAAATATTTTTAACCCTTCCTCGGCACACAACAACAATAACAGTATTTAGGAAGTAAATGTATAAAATCCTAGAACTCTCCTAAAAGTCATGATTGTGGCTAAGCTCTGAGCCATTTTCATGTATACCTAGAGTTCCACAAAAGGAACAGCTCTTTAAAATTCTACAGTTTGACATCTTAAATGCTAGATGATCATCAAAGTGATCAAAAATATAAGCTCTATGCCTATAATATCAAGGGTGAGTTTTGGACTTCTTTTTGTAGTAGTTATTAAAAATATATTTTTAGAAGGAGAGGTGCCAATATGGCAGCTTAGTCAGGCAAACCACATGCCAGCCCTATATAGCAATGACCTGAGAAACCGAGTGAAACAGATACAGATGATAATCCTGGAACCTTGAGCATTAGATGAAAGGATAAAGAATTAGATCAAACACCGACTGGAAGAAAAAACTGAAAAAAATAGTGAAAGGAGAGAGATGGGTTGCATTCCTGGGTGAGGAATGCAAGAAGGCAACTGTAAGGAACCCCCAATAGAGGAAAGAGATACAATGTAGACAAATCCAGAGTTAATTAAAGTGAGCAGAACACAAACCAGATTTACAGAAGGAAAGCACAGGAAAGGACCCAGAAAATAGGGGTAGAACTATTTACCAGCAGTGGTTCCTGGTTGTTTGGGATGAAGACCCACAATGAGGAGAGGGTCTGTGGAGTTGCAGCTAGAGACACAGGACTCCAAACAGACGCCCACTCACCCTGGGTCGGGCAGGGCCCTGACCGTCAGCTGCACCACCCACCAAGGAGTATGCTGGCACCCACACCAGTAACAACCAACCAGAGTACACTCTCCCCAGTATCCCTACCCTCCTGGTAAACAAAGGTGTGCCCTCCTCCAACACACACTTCTGCCCATCTGGCAACCAATGGTACACTCTTCTCATGCCACCCACCCAGTGACCAGAGGTGCAAGATCCCATCCCCTACCCCATCCTGCCTAGGCAACCAACAATGTAAGCTCCCATGCTGCCTGTACAGAGACCAGAGTTCACATACCCTCACCCTGACCACCTACCTGGCAACCAGTGAAGAGCACCCACAGTGCTATAACCTGGCAAAACACTAAAGTGCACCGCTCATCGATGCCTGATAACTAGACTACCAGGCACATCACCTCAGCAGCAATGTCCAATATACCCTGATGGGTGCCACCTGCACTTCTGCCTAATAATGAGCAGGATGAGTTTGTAGTGCCTTCATCCAACATCCACCTGGCTACAACATCATACACCCCACACCCAGACAGTTCTGGCAGGCTGATGGCTCATGCACTAAAATTCCATGATCCTCTGCCATCTACTGAAATGCCAATTCATGCATGCACAGAGGGCTTATCCCATCTATTTGGGAAGCACTCTCTCACAGTGGCTACAGAGATATCCTGCCCTGGCATCCAGTGGGTGCACTAACTGCTAACATCAACCTGGAAGAAGTCTATGGTACACTGCCAGCCACTACCCTGCTGACCAGAGACAGTTGGTGAATCCTCCTGTGCCACTACTAGATTAGCGACCAAGGGAGCACAACTCACTCTGCCTGCTGGAGATACATGAAGCAAACAAACAAACATGCAGTAAGTTTTAAAAAATTATATCTTAATGCCTCAGAGACAGCAGACAATATCAAATCATACAAAGAGGCAGGACAAGATGGCTTAAGCAAGTGACCAAAATAAAGGGACAGAAAACTTTTCTGAGGGAGAAATGGTAATAAAACTACCTGAAAAGGAATTCAAAAGACTTATATATAGGATCATCGTAGAAATCAAGGAATACACAGACAAAATTCTAGAGGGATAAGAAAAACAATACAAGAACAAAATGACAAAATAAACAATCAGAAACCATACAAAACCAGCACCTAGGAATCTAGAAGCTCTGGTGGCATAGTACCTAGGCATCTCACTGCTAACCAGAAGGCTGGCAGTTCAAACCCACCAGCCACTCCTTGGAAGGAAGACTGGACAATCTATTTCCATAGAGATACTGCCTCAGAAATCCAAGGAGGGGTAACTATGAGTCGGAATTGACTCGACAGCAGTGAGGTTTTTTTTTTTTCCGGTAGAAATCTAGAAGATGAACAATAAAATATCAGAAATAGATAACTCCATGGAAAGAAACAGAAGTAGAACTGAATCAGTGGAAGTCAGAATCAATAAACAGAGGATAAATCTCTTGATAACTAATTTGTTTGAGAAACAATCAGAAAAAAAGAATGAAGAAAACCTAAGAGTTATGTGGGGCATTATCAAGAGGCATAATGTGCACATGACTGGAATTCCGGAACAGGTGGAGACAAAAAAAAGACCCATAGAGAATTACTGAAGAACTGCTGGCAGAAAACTTCCCTAATGTCATGAAAGACAAGAAGGGTTCCATCAAACAAGCTCAGAGAACCCCATATACGAGAGACCCCAAAGAAAGCCAGCAAGACATATCATAATCAAACTTTCTAAAATGAAAAACAATGAAGAATTCTAAGCAACTCAGAAAAAATGAAGTAGCACATACAAAGGGGCATCAATAAGACTAAACTCTTATTTCTTGGCAGAAACCATGCAGGCAAGAAGACAGTGGGATGATAAATACAAAATCCTGAAAGAAAAGAGTTGCCAACCAAGAATCATATACCCAGCAACACTGTTTCTCAAATACAGTGGAAAAACTAGGACATTCCCAGATAAAGATAAATAAATGGAATTTTTGAAAACCAGACCAATCTTACCAGAAACATTAAAAGGAGTCCTCAGGACAAAGAACCAACAACGTTTAATGACAAATTGAGATTATGACACCCAGATACCAACCCAGATAAAGAAATCTCAGAAGTAAAATAAAGCCACAAAACTGAAAATAGGAAACCAGAGATGTCAATATGTAAATGACAACAACTTCAAAACAAAAAGAGGAAATAAATGGTGTAGCCATAGAAATTCTATATGGAGAGAAAGCCAAGGCATTATCAAAAAATAACAGACTGTGTTAAACTTAGGAAGATAAAGGTAAATCTCAGAGTAACCTGCTCATCAAAATAAAAAACAAGAAAATCATAAAGACTCAATAAACACAAAATCAACAACAATGAAGGAAATGAAAGCCCATATAGAAATAGAATTCAGCAAAGAAAATTAAGCAGAACAAAGAAACCATCAACACTACACACACACACACACACACACACAAAGTATAACAACATTCTTTAATGAAATGGAAAAACTAATCTCCAACTTTATATGGAAAGTAGCCCCAGATAGCGAAAGCATTATTGAAGAAAGTAGGAGGCCTCACACTTCCCAAGCTCAGAACCTACTACTACACAGTACACAGCCATGGTAGTCAAAGCAGTCTGGTACTGGTACAACAGATACACAGACCAATGCAATAGAATTGAGAATCTAGAAATAAATCCATTGAGGTATAGAGAGCTGATCTTCAAAAAAGTGTTGAAGCCCATTTAATGGGGAGGACATAGTCTGTCAACAAATGGTGCTGGCAAAACTGGATATTCATTTGCAGAAAAATGAAACAGGACCCATACCTCACATCATACACAAAAAATAACTCAAAATGAATCAAACACCTAAATCTTAAACCTAAAACTGTAAAATTTCTGGAAGAAAAAATAAGGACAAAACTAGGGGCCCTAATCTATTGTATAAATAGAATATTGTTTTGTTTCTCCAGTGTTGCTCTAATAGAAAATACCACAAGTGCATGTCTTTAGCAAACAGAGATTTGTTCTCTTAAAATTTAGGAGTCTAGAAGTCCAAGTTCAAAGTGCCAGCTCTACGGGCTGGGTAAAGGCCCCTCAACCTTAGGCTCTGCCTCTTGCTTCTGGCCCACTAGAGTTAGATGCATCTCTTAACTCACATAGTTGCTGGCTGCTGAGGCTGACTAACCCAAGGTCGACAAATAAAATGGCACAGTGCCAAGATTATCAAGCAACATGCAGGCCACTAATTCAAGCCCAAGAACAGTCTCATGATCAGCAGGCAACACGGCAGGCTGCTGAATGAAGACTCGGCTACATGCAGAGTCCAAGTGTGCCAAAAAGCTCCACACCTTTCTCAGAGTGCCTCCTTATATAATGGAAGCAGACCACATCCCTAAGGCAGCTACTGAGCTACTCACAGCAGATTCCACCCACAATGGAGCTGATTACCAGTCTCACCATGGGGAATAACTATATCCAGCTGCCTTGTCCCTCAAAACCAGGCCCAGCCAAGTTGACATATAACCCTAACTACCACAAATATCAAACATAACTAAAAATGTACAAACAGCAGAAGATAAACTAGGTAACTGAGACCTCCCAAAAATTAAATACTTATGTACATCACAACAACTAACAAATGTGTCCTGAAAGAAGTGCAGCCAGAATGCTTCTTGGAAGCGAGAATGGCCAGACTTTGTCTCACCTACTCTTGTCATGTTGTCAGAAGGGACAATTCTCCAGAGAAAGATATCATGCTTAGTAAAGTGGAGAGTCAGCAAAAAAGGGGAAGGCCCTCAACAAGATGGATTGACATAGTGGCTGCAATGATGGGCTCAGGTATAGCAAAGATTATGAGGCTGGCACAGGACCGGGCAGTGCTTCATTGTGTTGTACATATAGTCACTAGGAGTTGGAGCCAACTCAATGGCACCTAACAACAACAACATGTTCATCAAAAGACTTCAGAAGAGTAAAAAGAGAACCTATACACTGGAAAAATTTTTGGCAACAAAGTATCTGACAAGGGTCTACTCCCTAAAATTTATAGAAAACTCCCAACACCACCCAGCTCAGGAACAAAACAAAAATCCAATTAAAAATTAGGCAAAGGACATGAACAAACCCTTCACCAAAGACATTCAGATAGCGAACAAACACATGAAGAAATGCTCACAATCATGAGCCATTAAACCCATTGCCATCTAGTCGACAGCAACTGATAGCAACCCCCACTGGATTTCCAAAGCAGTAAATCTTCATGGAAGTAGATTGGCCCATCTTCCTTCCACAGAGTGGCTGGTGGGTTTGAACCATCAACCTTCCGATTAGCAGTCAAAAGCCTTAGGCACTGTGCTACCAGAGCTCCTTATTAGCCATTAGAGAGATGCAAATCAAAGCTACAATGAAATACCATCTCACCCTGGCAATAATGGCACTAATCAAAAAAACCAGAAAACAGCAAATGCTGGTGAGGTTTTGGGGGGACTAAAACTCTTACACACTATTGACAGAACTGTAAAACCAAACAACCAGTACAGAAAATGGTATGGTGCTTCCTCAAAAAGTTAGAAATAGAAATACCGTATGACTCAGCAGTCCTACTCCTAGGTATATATCCTAGATAAATAAGAGCTGTGGCACAAATAAACATACGCACACCCATGTTTATTGAAGCATTATTCAAAATAGCAAAAATATGGAAACAATCTAAGGGTCCATCAACAGATGAATGGATAAACAAACTGTTGTACATACATACAATGGCATACTACAGAATGATAAAGTAATAATAAGTCTGTGAAACATTTCACAACATGGATAAATTTGGAGGACATTATGCTGAGTGAAATGTCAACCAAAAAAGGACAAATACTGTATGAGATCACTGTAATGAAAAATTGAAAGAAAGTTTACACACAGAAAGAAACATTCTTTGAAGGTTATCAGGGATAGGAATAAGGAGCAAGGAGAATCACTAAGTAAAGAGTAAACACATGCTAATTTTAGTAAAGGAAAAGGTAACACACAATATAGTTGAAGTTAGCACAATGTGACCAAGGCAAACAAAGACACTGAGAGGGACATAAGAATAAAAGACAACTATGGAAAATGCTAAAGGAGCTCTGGTGGCATAATGGGTAAGGCATTTGGCTGTTAACCAGAAGGTCAATGGTTCAAACCCACTACTCACTTGGTGGGAGAAAGATGAAATAACCTACTTCTGTAAAGATTTATAGCCTTGGAAATCCAATGGGCTCAATCAACTCAATCGCAGTGGATTTGGTTTGTTTTGGTATGGTAAATATGGTAATAATCAACTGTATGAGACCAATGGGGCAACAGTGGCCCAAAAACAAAGATGAGAAGGCAGGAAAGGGCAAGAAAACCAGACTAAAGGGGGCAGGGAAACCAGACGAATGGAAACTAGGAACCCAGGATAGAAACAAGGAGAGGGCTGACAGATTGCAGAGTTTGCAACCAATGTCATGGAACAAGTTTTGTATAAATTATTGAATGGAAAACTTACTTGCTATGTAAACTTTCACCTAAAGCATAATAAAATGTTCAAAAATAAAATATAATTTTAAAAAAACATAGTTTTAGTATCAACAACCTATACTTATCACTTACCAATAAAAAATAACTTCTGGAGTCCCCACAGAGTAGACTTACAAGGAGAACACAAGTATTTGAAGCCTTTTCATAATTTCCTACTATGTATCCTAGCAAAAGAAACTAACATATAAAATGAGACTTACCTTTTCAATATTTCCATATAAGCAGAATAGGTTGAAGACTCTTGAACAATTCATTTTTAGTTGATGTAATCCACTAACCATTACTACTGAACCAGAGGGATTTCCTCCATGCATGTAAGAAGAAGAAGCCTGTGGTAATGGGTATGCAACAAGCTCAGGTGTATCTCGAGAGCCCATTCTGTAACGACTTGGTAAAGGCAATAATGGACCATGGGATCCTATAAAAAACAATTTTAAAAAAAGTACAGTTCCATTTGTAAATAACAGATACACTTTACCACACACAAATAAACTCTTAGTTTTAGCTAGTTCGATATATTCCGAAGAAAAACATAAACATGTGAATATTTTAATATAATTAATAAAATCTATACTTCTTTGTATCAGGTCCAACAATCACTAACCTAAATAAGTTATAACTTTATATTATTATATTAATTTACCTAATGAAACAAGCGTATGAGGTAAGATAGATAAAAAAAATTTCTGCTAACCTTTCTGCCACCGATATAAATTATACCTCAAATGAAAATAACAAAGCAAAAAACCTCTGCCAGCACAGCAGGACTTTTGGAGGAATAACATAATAAACAGTGAAATCTAGGAAGCTATCTCTAGATCTAATTTATCTAGATTAATTTATCTGTCTTTCTATACAGATAAATTAATAAAACTTTTAGTTCTGCTGAAAAGTTGTCTCCCTGAATATGTTTTCATATAATGAAATGATACTTTATAGTAATGATACTTTACGATTCTTACTAAACTTTCTTCTTCATAGAAAATGGAAAAATGTGCGGTCAGTGGGTAGTGGAAACTTTGACACTGCTTAAGTTGGCCAAGGTCCAAAACCTTCTGAGACCCACTCTATTCTAGGTAGTAATGAAATTCAGTGCAAAAGAGTAACAGATGTTTATAATTATGTTACTTATACCACTTAAGAAGGAATCATAGCTATGAGTCAAAAACTGGTTAGATGGCACCTAACAACAACATACTATTTAAGAGTAGGTAGTTTAAAAACATGAACTCTATATATCTTAGGCATTCCTGAGTTAGTAATTACAGAAACAAAGTCTGCGGTGCATGCAAAGGTCTTCTGAATAAGCAAAAAAAAAAAAAAAAACAAAAACCCAAAACTCAAGTCCTTTCTTAATTTCTCAAGAAAGTTAGTATCAATGTCACTGTTTTTCATTTTTTTGTAGGACTAAGAAACACCATAAGCTGTGTAATATTATTATCTATAATCAAAATATACATAAAGAAATTATCAAACAATTATCATTAATAGCACACACAAGTAAAAGTTTGCTGAAAAGAATTCAAAAATGGTTGCACCAGTACATTGACAAGGAACCGCCAGAAGTTCAAACAAGATCCAGAAGAGGATGTGCAATGATGGATACCACTGCTGATGTTAGATACATCTTGGTTGAAAGCAAAAAATGCCAGAAAGATGTTTATCTGTGTTTTATTGACTATGCAAATGTATTTGACTATGTGGACCATAAAGAAATCTGGGTAACACTACAAGTATGAGAATTCCAGTACACTTAATTGTGCTCATGAAGAACTTACACATAAGCCAAGAGGCAGTAGTTCAAACAAACAAGGAGATAGATATTGCATGGTTTAAAACTAGGAAAAGTATGGGTTAGGGCTTTATTCTTTTACCATACATATTCAATCTGTATGCTAAGCAAAGAATCCGAGCAGCTGGACTATATGAATAATGCAGCATCAGAATTGGAGGAAAACTATCAATCTGCGACATGCAGATGACATAATCTTCCCCTTGCTGAAAGTGAAGACTTGAAGCACCTACTGAAGAAGATCAAAGACTACAGCCTTCGGTATGGCTTACACCTCAACATAACGAATACAAAAAACCTCACAACTGGAACAATAAGCAACATCATGATAAATGGAGAAAAGAGTGAAGTTTTCAAGGATTTCATTTTATTTGGCTCCAAAATCAATGCCCATGGAAGCAGCAGACAAGAAATCAAACAACCTATTGCACTGGGCAAATCAGCTACAAAAGGCCTCTTTAAAGTATTAAAGAGCAAAGACATCACTTTGAAGACTAAAGTGCATTTGACCCAAGCCATTACCTTTCAATAGTCTCATAAGCATGTGAAAGCTGGACAATGAATAAAAAGATTGCAGAAGAACTGACACATTTAAAAAACTGTAGAGTTCACGAAGAATACTTAATAAATCATGGACTGACAGAAGAACAAATAAATCTGTCTTGGAAGAAGTACAACCAGGATGCTCCTTACAAGTGAGAATGGCCAGACTTTGTCTCTCATACTTTAGTCATGCTATTAGAAGAGGTTAAGTCTTTGGAGAAGGATTATCATGCTTAGTAAAGCAAAGGGGTCAGCAAAAAAGTGGAGGGTCCTCAATGATAGGCTCAAGTATAGCAACAATTTTGAGGACGGCACAGGACCTGGCAGTGTTTCATTCTGTTGTAAAAAGGGTCACTATGAGTCTAAACTGACTTGAAGGCACCTAACTACAAACACCCGTCATCTACTAAGTGAGTTACTAAGGACTATTATTTAAGTTTGGTATTCATCAACTAAAATTAGCATGCTATTATACAGCTTACAGTGGACTCCTATCAGTATTCTAAATATAGCTATCATTCATAACAACACAGAAACACTACCACTGAGCACATGCAAACAGTTTGAATTCCTGCAATTTTAGGGAGGGATACTTTGTCAATATATCATCTGCAGTTTTGCCTTAAATCGGTCATGGTTTTCAAATGCTCTTCTTGCTGATACCTGGTAGCTTATAAAAACAATCAATACAGCTCATGGTAAATTACTTGCTAATAACTATACATATGTTGGCCTCTAATTCAGAATATTATACATGCAGTGAGGTTCAAATATCATTCTTATTGCAAAAGTATTATGCCTATTATATTGGCCCCGAACACCAGCACTACCATTTTCTTGTATAGTAATGATACTTTACGATTCTTACTAAACTTTCTTCTTCATAGAAAATGGAAAAATGTGCAGTCAGTGGGTAGTGGAAACTTTGACTCTGCTTAAGTTGGCCAAGGTCCAAAACCTTTTGAGACCCACTCTACTCTAGATAGTAACCAAATTCAGTGCAAAAGAATAACAGATGTTTGTAATTATGTTACTTACACCACTTAAGAAGGAATCATAGCTAGGAGTCAAAAATTGGCTAGATGGCACCTAACAACACCACCATACTATTTAAGAGTGGGCAGTGGTGGTTCAGTGGTAGAATTCTCACCTTCCACATAGACTGGGTTCATTTACCAGCCAATGTGCCTTAAGTGCAGCCACCACTCATCTGTCACTGGAGGCTTGTGTGTTGCTTCCAGGCTAAGACAGACTAGAAAGGAAGGGTTGGCAATCTACTTCTGAAAATCAGTCAATGAAAACCCTAGATCACAACAGTCCAATCTCACTGAGCATGGATCACCATGAGTCAGAGGCTGACTGACAACAGCTAACAACAACATAATATTTAAATTGTTACCTCTATTGTTTGAGAAGATAGGTAAGAACAGAAGTATTTTAAAAGTTCTCTGTATTAAATGTTGTTTGTTGTTATTTGCCGTCAAGTCAGCCCCAACTCATAGCGACCCCTCCTTGGGTTTCCGAGGCAGTATCACTACGGAAGTAGGATTGCCCAACCTTCCTCCCGAGTGGCTGGTGGGTTTGAACCACCAGCCTTCTGGTTAGCAGTCAAGTGCCTTAGGCACTATGCTACCAGAGCTCCTGGTATTAAATAGTTAATGAAAATAGTTTTGATACTTAAAAGACTAATACTTCAGGTATTTAAAAAATTCACTTACGTGTGTTACATAAATAAGATGGAATTATTACAATCTAAAAGTTTTTCTTGCCTTTGAATTTAAATTAAAATATTTGATCCAGGAATCATATCTAAAGATGCTATCAATTAATATATAAGCGTTTCTTAGGTTCACAGCAAATAAATCTGTATATTCATTTTGCCATTGTTCAAGCATAAGCACTTTTATCAGTTCATCTCATTAAGCCTGGGCTTCCCAAAATTAAAAGACTTAAAGAGTTTTAATGATAAGCATGGTTTTATACTACTAAAATAAACCACTAAATAAATTTAATCTAATGGAATCTATAAGTCCTCACTATAATAAACTTTTTCTAGTTCCTCCATCTCATATACCATCACAAAGGAAAAGCCATTTGTGATGTGACCCTAAAACATAAATGAATCTGTTCTGCTGAACTGCTGATGTGAAGGGATACAGCTGTGACTTTAAAAATTTGTAAAAACAGTATCACTAGCACCTCTTCTCCTTTGCTTTTTTCCTCTCATTTCCTCATCTTCTCTTCTGCACCTCTTTTTATTCTCTCTCTCCTCCTACACCCAATTCTGCTTATATTCCTAGGAAAGTAGAGCAGAAGTTTCAATGGAAATAGTCCAGAAAAAACACCCCTACACAATCCCAGCACAACCACTCCTTCCTCAGCAGTATATTCCAGCACTTGAATGATCCCATTTAACAACTGCCACTCCAAAGAATGATGTACCTCTCTTTAAGCTTACATTTTAAAATTAATACACCCATACATACATGATACATTCATTAAGGCATGAAATTTTCAGTGACTTTTACAATAGCTTCTTCTTTTTTTAATATAAAGTTATTTTATATCACTTATTTCTGCTTATACAATTTTTAGTAAAATGTATTTTATACAGTAAGTCAATCCTAAAAACCTATACTGAGAAAATAATCTGCCTCAACACTACCACAGAAAAGTTCCTTGTCCTTAATTAATTCTTTCCTAGATTTTTCTAGCCCCCTTTGGCAAAACATTTAACCAGTTTTTAGCCTTCAGTTGATTGTCATGACATATTTAACTATATATCTATAAACTTGTAATTAGTAATTCTTTTGTCACCCCCTTCATTATGCAAAGCACAATGGGCTTACAATAAGTGGTTCTTTAAGGCAGGATCATAAAACCATATCTAACATTTACTGTTACAGGAACAACTAAGTGAAATAACCAAGGAATACACTCTAAACCATAATAAAATTTTCATTCTATATAAGACTGACTGTTTTAATGTAACATAGTGATTGTTTCAATCTCTTCAACCATATAGACTACTATAGAACCTTGAACAAACTGCACCTAATGCCTCGCTTATTATCTCGTTATCTGACATTTCACATTTATGCAATAGTAAAAAAAATCTACTATCCAATTATTTTGCACATTAATAATATATATCTGGCAGTAACAAGTGCTAGGCAAGAGTAACACTGGCTGTGATGGTTAAGGTTATGTGTCAACTTGGCTGGGCCATGATTCTCAGTGGTTTGGCAATTATGTAACGATATGACCAAGAATTATGTAATGATGCAATTCACCCTCCATTTTCACATTAACACTGATTTTTGCAAAACAACCTGGTCTTTGGAACCTAACTATGTCATGAGTATGTATATATAAAACACAAGTAATAAATTCCTAGAGCTCAAAAAAATAAACTAGGGAATAAGCTAAAGCTCACAACTAAGAATGGTCAGTCCTTTAAGTAAATATTTTAAAACACAATAGGCAATGTTGCAAACAACAGGCAACACTAGAGGCTTTTCGATGATAAATCCCAGGAGTACAATACAGCAACTTGTATTTCCTGGCATTTCTAATAGTATTATATTTCAAGTTTAAACCCAGAATAGGTAGGGTCATTAACTACCACTAAAACATGTAAAACCAAGATTTTATTAGCAGCTAATAGGTTTATCAATAGCAATTCTCAACAACTACTTACAAGGATAACAAACTTTTCCTTGGGGAAGATTATTATTTTGGGTATCATAAACTTAATTTACCAACATAGCATATTAGCAAATACTAAAAGCTGAGAATTTTAAAAGAATAATTGAATTAAATACAAACAAATTTAACCAAAACCAAAATACTAACTGTAGAACTAAAAGAGATAAGGAACTATGCAGAAACATGTTTCTTTTTTGACAAATACCCCATTCTTTCTGCCTTTTTAACTCAAAATCCTCATTGTCCAAAATTGCTAGAATGGAAGGAAGTAAATACACTTTCTGAGCCATAATATTTCTTTTCTGTTTCTCTAATAGGCTACGGTCATTGCAAATCAAAATCAAAACATAAAGGCAAAAAAGTTTCCAATTCCCAACCAACAGCTCTCATTATCTCAAGGATCATTTGATATGTCAGTATCACAAGAAAACAAAGGATTCTGGACAACTCCTTGGGAGTATACTACACAAGGATTAACCCCAAATAAAACAAGTCAAGTGGGCAGAAAAAATACAGAGAAGAAACGTGCAATTCTTCATCAGAAATGCAAAAATTCTAATTGTTCATCTATACTACCTTCCTTCTGCCTTGGCAAACTTACCATAGCCATCATGTCTAAACGAAGAAGGGTGTTCTCCCAAAATGGCTTGTCTCTGGCGACCCTTTCCTCTATCTGACACAAAAGTAGAAACATGGTTTTAACAATTTTGACCCAAGTACTTAACAGTTCTCACATGGGGAACACCCCTTCAAAACATCCATTACAATTCATAAAAGAAATATTCCTGGTTAACTTTAAACATCCATTCATACCTGATTTAAATACAAACAACAAAAGTTTAGGAAAATAATTCTACCTAACAAATTCCACTTAACTTGAAAATATCTTTTTGGCAAATGCCAAATACAAACACACTTTCAAATTTTAAGGAAAGAATGGATACTTATCAGAAAGTGAATGCATACATTGCTAGAGTTTGACACTGTACAGAAGTTTTTACCAATACATGTCTTTAAAACAAGCTTTAAGTGCAGTACTTTTGAAAGACAGTACCTGAATCATACTATTAGCTTCAACAGCAACACATTTTCAAAGTGGGCTTCTTTCAAGAAGTTTCAGCATAAGCCAACAACAACCTGTATTACATGGTTTCACAATCAGTAAACACAGAGTATTTTATATGTATATACACATATTTACAAACACCTACTGACTTGAGAGCTGAAATTTTGCATATCACTGGCCCATACTGTATCATGGATTGGTCATTGTCTATAGACCTTAAACCAGGCAGGATTGCGAGTGCCCCCAAAGTTTAAATATACGCCAAGATAAAGCTAAGCAAGGGGGCTACATTATTGGATGAGAGTACTACAATACTTCTAATGGATATTTTTAGTCTAGCTATATTTTCAGGGAAGGCAGGCCAATTTTCCCAAATGTAATTTGAGACATCAATAAAAAAAATTACTTGTAGCTTTCTAAAATGGCACTTCCTATGCTGGCTAGTATATTTTTTAAATCTTTGTAATAATACTTTTAGAAAGCTTGCTGTTCAAATGACAGTGCCCACTAAGGTTTTTGGGTTTGTTTTTTTTAACGTATCTTTAGACTCTGGTCATCCTAATTACTGAAAATTCAAAGAGAGAGACTTTCCGTATACCCTAAAAGTCACCTAAACAAATGAGGTTTATAAGAGATGAGAAATACTTTGATTTTCACTTCAGTCTAATTACCTATTCTAAGTTGTCACAGCATTGAAAGGGACCTAACAAGGTCATCTAGTTCAACTTTACTCAGTATATAAGACCTCTTTACTTGATCCCTATCAATTAACAAACACCAGTGACAAGGAATTATCTTCCCCTACATTTTTTGATAGCCCCAAATCATGAGAAAACTAATTTTTATATTTTATAGAAATTGATCCCTTGACCATATACTACCCTTTTTGGGGCCTCATACACTAAATCTTTCTCACAAAGTCCTTTCAAATGCTTGACAAGTTATTATGTCCCTTAACACTCCCCTCTACTCCTCCAAAGTCACTGCTCCAGACTAAATATTCATAGTTCCAGTATATCTCACCATTCAAATCTCACTCCTCTCTCCAATAAATATAGTCTACTAATCCAGTCTGTTACATTCCTCTGCTTAAATACGCCACCAAACACTAAATAGAAGTCCTTATCTGATCTAGAAATAAACCAAAACCACTGTAAAGTTTCCATGGCTCAGTTTTATTGTTATAGTTAACTGTATGTTAGAAAGAAAAAAAGTACTGGATTGGAAATCAGAAGATTCCAATTTAACCACTAATTTGCTATATAATCACCAGCCATCACAATCTTCATTCATAAAATGAAGGTGTTAAGACTAGATGATCTCCAAGGTCTGTTTCAGCCAAACATTCTCATTGTAAGGTCACATAAAACAGAAGTGAGTGAAAGAGTCAAACAATGAATATATCAGTTTCTAAACAGTGGTTCATAATCTTTCCGTTTCTAAAATCTGACGGAGTCCAGGTTAAGGGTTCTTTGCATTAAAATGTAATTAGGCCTGAAAAGAATTTTTTTAAATGAGTCTATGTTTTAAAAAATGACTCTTTTTCCAATTGGGGGTGGGAGTGGGGGTGGGGGTGGGAGTTGTGTGGGGTAAGAAAAAGTTATGAGGGTCTTTATATAGGGGAAGCAGCTAAACAGTTTCAACATCTTCTGTCAACTTGAAAGCAAGCCGAGATCACTACAGGAACAAAAATGTACACTTTTAAGTCTTGCCAAAAACAAGTATCTGTATGTAAGGAATGAGCTCTGGTAGCATAATGCCTAAGGCATTTGACTGCTAACCAGAAGGCTGGCGGTTCAGACGCACCAGCCATTCCTCAGAAGAAAGGTTGGGCAATCTACTTCCGTAGTGATACTGCCTCTGAAACCCAAGGAGGGGTTGCTATGAATTGGATCCAACTCAATGGCAGTGAGTTTGGTTTTGGTTTGGAAAGTATGAGAAAATAATTTTTCCTGCAAAACATAAACAACTAAAATTTTGTTTTACTTCCTTTCATTTTATTTCACTATTTAAGCATATACTTTACACTTTTCTAAACCTCTATTCCTTGTATGAAAAACTAATCTAAACTCGCTTTGTACAAACTTTGAACTTCTTTAGAACAGAAGTGAAAATAAAAATAAATAGCATATCTAGCAAATGTTTTTAGGAGCCCTGGTGGCACAATGGTTAAGCACTTGGCTGCTAAATGAAAGGTTAGCAACCTTCCCAACAGCTCCACAGGAGAAAACACCTGGGGGGTGGGGCGGTAAACCTGCTCCTAAAGATTACAGCACAGAAAACCTTACTGAGGAAGTTCCACTCTGTCACACGGGGTTACTATTAATTGAAATCGCCTCAACAGCACCTAACTTCAATAAATGTTTCAAGAGACATTCAGAGAAATGTAACCAAAACTCACTATTTAAAATTAGTATAAACAAACAACAAAAATGTGTTCACTAAATAAACCTAAGTTGACAGAAGTAAGAGGTTTCTCATCAACCACTTGTCCTGTTGTTTGAGTACCAAGGCTTTACTTTCCAATATTGTATTCTACTGCACCAAGTCTAGGCCAAGCAGATTTCCTTGAGTAGTGAAAATGTGGAGTCCCACCAAATCTGCATTACAAAACAAATCCATGCAACCCCATGCATAAGGCAAGATGATTCCATGGGAATCAGAATTAAAGGGCCCAATCATCCAAAAGTCCTAAATACTTGAACATGCAGATAAAGAATAACTGCATTATCTTTTATTTTGCTATAGTACATGTACTACAGAGTCCCTAATACCCAAGATATTTTGGTTGCTATAAAAAAATTCTCTACTTTATTGAGTTTCACAGACATACTCATCTTGGTGAGTTTTTCCAACACATGATTCAAATATTGATATTGTAGTTGCGATATAGCCAATACTGCAGCCCCCTTGTTTTTACAAGATCCACATTTTAATTTGTAAATTCCAGAACTGCTACATAGTTAGTTGAACAATTTTATCAGTCAAAGCTATTCTCATTAAATCTAGCATTTATAGGTTATAACTGAAAATGCATCTCAAGTGAAATGCTCTTTCAGATGTATCAAGCTGAAATATATTCTACCTTTCACAGACACAGTACTTTAACCTACATTTGAAATGTCAAAATTTCTAGTTATACAAATTAACATGAGTGATAACCTTAGCTTTTACAAAAAGTGACAATTTATGAACAGCCACTTTACAAAAATCAAACCACACAGAAAAATATCTTTTACATATAATGCACCTTTCCATTATCGTTAGAATTTCTGTGCAATGTTCACAATTGGGATGAAAAAAAAAAAAGAAAAGAAAAGAAACTTAAGGGCAGCAAGTGTGCACCTTTCTAGTTGTTTTATCTTTAAAACATCTATGTGGGTTGGTTGAGCATTATTAATTCCCAAGCCTATATATAAACTGGCCCTGGTTATTTGCCAATTAACAATTTGAATCTAAGCTGCAAACAATTACAGCAATGGGCATTAAAATTTACAACATTGTAGACAAAGTCTAGTTTTTCTTAGTGAAAAGTCATAAATTCTACAACTACAACCTCAAGGGAAATCAGACCAATATATACATACAACTTGAATAAATGGGCACAGTCTATCATGGTGTTCATCCCATGCAAGTCTGAAGTACTGTTAAGTGTCCTCCTTTAAAAACTTGGGGTGGTGGTGCATGCAGTATGCAGTCAAGGTGAATTGCAAGTCTGAGTTTTTCAGAGGGCTTTTTGTTGATGCCGATGTTGTGCATGATGAAGTGTAGAGTCAGCCTGCTGGAGTCCTCTATCCTTCTTAATGCCTTGTCCAGCTTGGGGGAAAAGTCCTTTCCATAGAGAAGCAGTGTGCAAGTTTGAAGTTTGTAAGGAATATTCTGAATCAGTTTCCTCTCCTCCAAAGAGAGAGAGCTGCTTGGAGAAATGCAAGTCCTTGAACTGCGGGCGTGCCTGCATGTGTGGGCTCCTTGTTGAACTAAATATAAATAGCTCAGTACATACCAGTAGGGGGCACTAATGTTCAAGTTTATTTTCCAGCATTACAAGTTCTTAGCAACAAAAGCATTCATCAAGGTTTTCATTTGAATTTACTAGTTCTCTCAGGAAAAAGGAATCTAACTGCACGTTAAAATTTTTCAACAGATGTAAATACATTCCAAAATGAATAAAATACCTACCTCGTCTTCCCAAATATGGTTTAGTGTAGTCCCAACTGTCATTGTCATTCCTAATAACATTTAGACGAGTTGGCTGTTAAAATAAAAAAGAAAGCAAGTTCAAATTATATTTCTAAAGCATAAATATTTCTTTGGTGAAATGATGGAAAAAAAATATTTACCCTTGCATATTCAATTTTTAGTGTGCAACATCCAGCATATATATCTGCTCCATTGAGTGCTGCTTTAGCTTTCTGTGCACAAAGGACTGATTCAAACATAAGTTCTATTAAGGAAATTTGGCTTAAGGTTTTCAGAATTTAATCATTATCTACTCTCTTTAAAAAAGGACTGAAAATAATCAGATATAACTCACTTCTGAGAATGTTTTACTAAATATAACTCCTAGATGAATTTTAGGAGAATTCATTTTAAGACCAAAGGTTCCAAATAAAACATCATACAACTAAACCAAATTGAAAAATAAGGAATGGAGTGTGATCTATTCTCTAAGAGCAACTTGCTACTCTGAAAGAGGAAATAATACTCTTAAAGTAGGACGAACATTACAAAGAACCAGAAAGAATACAAATTATAATAATATATATATATTTCTGAGAAAGTAGGATTTTATGATCATTTAACTATCTTCATTTTGTTTTCAAAAATGATATCAGTCCATGACTGTAATATATATACACACATCTACCACACACAAAAAAAAGAAATCCTTGCCAGAAGTAAGCACTATTAAAATCTGGTGGATATCTCTACTTTCTTCTATGTGTGTACATGTTAGTTTTTCTTTGTATTTAAAAAATGGTATTGAAATTATATATATTTGAGGACCTCTGGTAGTGTAGTGACTAAAGCATTTGACTGTTAACCAGAAGGCTGATGGTTCAAACCCACCAGCCACTCCTTGAAAGGAAGGTTGGGCAATCTACTTCCATAGTGGTACCACCTCGGAAACCCAAGGGGGGGTGGTCACTATGAGTTGGCTCCAACTCAACAGCACATAACAACAACAACAACATATATATATTTGAGAATGAACACTCAACATTTACTCTAAAGCCACATGAGAAGGTCACAGGAAGCAGGGAAGCTAGATTAACAAAAATGTAACAACCAGGACTGAAATAATGAGAATGCTGACACAATGTAGAAAATGTAACCAATGTCACTTAACAATATATGTAGAAATTGTTAATGGAAACCTAATTTACTGTGTGAACCTTCACCAAAAATGTAATAAAATATTTAAAGAGGAAAAAAAAAATGGTATTGTAATATATATACTATTTTGCAACTTTCTCTTTTCACTTAACATACAGCAAATTTAACATCCAGAAGTAGTTTTTACATAAATAATACCATTTAAATGGTTTAGGAAGAAAGGTTCTACTAACTTTAAAGTGTTAGCACTTTCAAAATACCTATTTTAAGGGAAAATTTAGAAAAGTCCATTTGTGGTATATTTCAAAAAGGTACAAGTATACATACTTTGAAAAGTGTTATTATTCCCCATTATAAAGGCAAAGCACACTGTAAGATGGAGCAATGGACTATTTTACAGTAGCAGTTTCATTTTTAAAACATAAGCCACTTAGGACCACAGTTTTGGTGGAAATCAAGGACAACTGACATAATAGACCACAGAGATAATCCTACTCTGGTGAGTAGTGACTGGGGTCTTAAAACCTTGTGAGCGGTCATCTAAAGTGCAACTATTGGTCTCTCCCCATCTAGAGCAAATAAGAGTGAAGAAAAAGACACATGGAAACAATAGTGCAAGGACTAACAGATCATGTGAAACCCAGCCTCTACAACCCTAAGACCAGAAGAACGAGATAGTGCCCAGCTATCACTATTGACCACTATGAAAGAGATCACAATAGGTCATGGATAAAGTGGGAGAAAAAATGTGGAACTAAACTCAAAATCATTAAAAAAAAAAAAGACCAGCCTTACCGGTTTGACAGACTGGTGGCACCTCTAAGACTACAGCCCTTAGACATCTGTCAAGCCTTGGAACCACACTTATCCCTGTGGTTCAACTTTCAGCCAAACAACAGACAGGTCTAGAAGTTGAACAATAACACCAGGGGGATATGCACTCCCTAGACTGACCAACCATACGCGATAAAAGGGGTGGCATTTCCCTAAGGATAAAGCTCAGAGGGAAGAAAGGTATAGGAAATGGCAACACAGGGAGAAAGAGGGAAGAGTGTTATTCCATTGTGGGGTTTGTAATCAATGTCACAAATCAAAATCAATATGAGATGCTGAATGGAAAACCAATTTGCTGTGTTAACTCTCACCCAAATCACAATAAAAAGCTTTAAAAAAAAAAAAAAAAGCCTAAGCCAACTTACACATAACCAAACCCCTAGCAGGATTCGTTTACAAGGTTTGAAGTCTTAGGTCCATAGTTTCATGGTGTAACTCAGTCAATGGTGTAACATAATTCATAAAGTTTATGCTCTACATCATAGCTCGGTGAGTATGGTCCAAAAAGCTTACAAGTGGCCATCCGAGATACAACTCTTGGTCTCTACTTGTCCAGAGCAAAAGAGAAAGAAGAAAACCAAAGATTCAAAGAAGAAACTACTCTACAGAGTTAACAGACCAATTGAACCACAGCCTCATCCACCCTAAGACCACCAAAACTCTATAGATGGTCCCCAGTTACCACTATCAACCATTCTGAACAGGGACACAACAGATGGTCTTGGAGATAATGGGAGAAAAATGTAGAACAAAACTCAAATTCTTAGCCAGAGTTACAGGTCCAGGAGTAACTAAAGGAACCCCTAAGACTGTCATCCTTAGATACCCTTTAAACCTTGGAACTGAAACCACTCCCAAGGTCACCTTTCAGCTAAATTACTGATTGGCTCATAAAAAAGCAACATCACCAGTAAATTACCAAGCTCCTTTAAAAAAACCATTTATTTGAGACCAAATGGTCAACGTTTACCCTAAAGCAAAGATGAGAAGGTAAAGGGGAGGGGGAAGCAGGTAAGTTAGATTAATGGAATAGAATCACCAAAATGGAAATAATGAGAATGTTGATACATTATGAAAAATGTAACCACTGTCATTAAACCATAGTACAGAAAGTGTTAAATGGGAATGTAATTTGCTGTGTAACTTTTACTAAAAATACAGTAAAATAACTTAAGCCAAGTAGGTTATTATGACAGGGAAAAAAAGCAAGCATCACTTATCTAGATATGAGTATGCAGGTAGAAATTACATCTACCATGTGAATTAGACAGGATCCATACATATCTATGACATATTTACAAATAAAGGATATTCAACCATTGCTTGTATTCCATTCCTCTTGAATATAACGATACGTTGCACTTTTCCAACAGGGTTGCACACAGTATATAAAACATCCTAAGGAAAAAAAAAAGTCATAATTTATATTTAGAAAAACATGAAAGCCATACTTTAATGTTTTACTTTATTCCACCTAAAAACCAAAACTTGTCAAGGTGTCATTTCCAGTAATTACTAATTAAACTAATTTTTAAATTGTTATACTTTAATGAACCTAAAATTATTTCTTCCCCTATATAATAAACCCATATTGAAGTTCTAATGAAACATTTGACAAGCACTGATACCTATTTTTATCTCCTAAATGAATTATCAATTTTAATTTTCTTAACAGGTTGCCTAAAATAATCTCTGACAATATAGAATCAATAAACCAAAAATTAATAATCAATTAACTTATGTTTATTTTTTCCAAATGTGACTCTGAAATGTCTAAAATTATAGTCACTTGAATTACAGCAATACATATTAAGGGATAGTATTCAATTCTGCAAAGAGCCCTAGGGGTGTAGTGGTTAAGGTACTTGGCTGCTAATCAAAAGATTGGTGGTTCAAACCCACCAGCCACTCTGCGAAAGAAAGGTAAGGCAGTCTGCTTCCATAAATATTTACAACCTTGGAAACCCAATGGGGGGTGCTATGAATCAGAATCAATTCAACAGCAGTGAGTTTGACTTTTTTGGTATTCAACTCTGGCATTCATTTTTCAAGAGACAATGGCTATTAAAGAAAAGATCCAAGGTACATCAATCATATAATGATAGCTGTTACTAAACAAGATGGCTTGAGTCATCTAAAATGGAATCTAAACACCCATGTATTATTCAACTTTTAAGAAATTTCTTGACTATCTACAATTATACAGCTGCACCTTTAGGCACTAACAAGGAGGGATACAATTAAAAAAAAAAATCAGAGTAACTGTACTAGATTCATTGTTAGCTGCCACTGAGTCAGCCCACAACTCAGAGAGACCCATGCACAATGAATGGAATGAAGCACTGTCCAGTCCATCCTGCGCCATCCCCATGACAGGTTGTGACATGGACCTTTAGGATCCACTGGGTTTTCATTGGTTGATTTTTAGAAGTAGACTACGAGGTCTTTCATCCTAATCTGTCTTAGCCTGGAAACTGCTGAAACCTGTTCAGCATCATAGCAACACACAAGTATTCTTTCTTCTTAAGACAACAAATAAATATATTAATACTGTAACATAAGTCAACAAATATTACACAAGCAGCCATCTAGATGCAACAATAGGTTAATAATAATAATAACACCCAGAGCAAAGAAGAAGCAAAGCAAAGATGAATGGAAACAATTAGTCCAAGGGACTAGTGGACCATGCACTCCTCAGCCTACATGACCCTGAGACCAGAAGAACTAGATGGTGCTGGTATCACTATCAACCACTCAGAAAGGGATCAGTGTAGGAGATCCTGGATAGAATGGGTGAACAATGTGGAACAAAACTGAAAATCACACACACACACAAAGAAAGACCAGGTTTACTGATCTGAGAGTGCCTGGTGAGACCCCTGAGACTATGGCCCCTAGTTACCCTTTAGGTCTGGAAATGAACGCATTCCTGTGCCTTCCAGCCAAACAATAAACAAGCATATAGGGTGAACATTAATTACATCAGGTAGATAAACTTCTTGGAGTGATCAATCATGGGAGAACAGAAGGGCAGTGTTTGCACAGGGAGACAGCTCAAAGGGGCAGGAATGCATAGCAAAGAAGGACATAAGGAAGAGGTAACTACCATGCTACATGGTACAGGGAGAAAGTGGGAAGTGAGCTCTTATATTGTGGGGAATTATAGTCAGTGTCATGAAACAAAATATGTATGAACTGTTGTATGGAAAATGAATTTGCTCTGTAAACTTTCACCCAAATAACAAAAAAATTAAAAATAAATATTACAAAAAAAGTGAACAGATTCATAATGTCCAGTTAAAGTTAAAGGATATCTTATGCTTTGCCTTAAGCTTATGATGTCCCAATATCAAATAACCAAATTAGAAATCACACAATTAAGGCTTTCCTCACTGTGATATTCTATTTGTTACAAAATCAAGTGTCTGTCTCCCTAGCTTATTATGAAACAGCTTGTTATTATATGAAGATGACATAACTGGTTCAGGACACAAATCCATTTTAAAAATCCTATCACTTTTTAAAAGGAAGAAGAATCAGGGAATTTTAAGTAAATCAAAGGCAGGTTCTTAACAAGCTATCTTATTAAGAGCTTATGATGATGACATGTAGCTCTTACTGTCCCGTGGGATTCTGTTATTACCTAGTGGATGCTCTTGTTACACGTGCTGGCATCTGAGTGAGAGATTTCTTGTTCCACTTCTAATAAGTCTGTCTAGTCTTTTATTATCAGAAATAGAAATGACATTGATGCTAAATAATAACATTTAATAAATGGGCTTATTTAATTATGACAATTGTGCTTCTAGCCTTTTAGCTTCAACATGCTTAATTTTTTCCTTTGTTCATTAAATGTGACAGTTGAATATTAATTTCAATAATTCTTCGAAAAGGAAAAATTTTCAAGTATCTAGATGGCAGTGGAGAAAACCACACACTAATTACTCTACAGGCAAATTCCAAAATCACTTTTTATTTAGTTTCTCATAATGAAATACATACCACTGTAATCGGATAGAGAGGATTCTGAATTGATAGCAAAAGAACTTTGTTGCCTCCTGATGGATCATCAGTATTTCCTGGTCGAGTAATCCTTTTGCTTGTAGAATAGTTGAAAAAAGCCTGTTGACCAGCAATGTACACAGGTTCATCCGCAGCAAACGTCACACATTCTTTGGCACTATCTATGTTTTCAAATTCCACTAAAGCCTGCCGTTTAAATGGCATCATCATCACATAGCTGGAAAGAGGGATTGGGAGGAAATACCCGAATATAAGAGTTAAATTAATGCTATTTGCGTTCAACCCAGTAAAATCAGCCTTTAATAAAAATGTGTCAAATCACACAAATTAGAATTTTCGCAGAGTAGTGCCTAAAGCATTTGACTGCTAACCAGAAGGCTGGTGGTTCAAACCCACCAGCCACTCCTTGGAAGGAAGGTTGGGCAATCGACTTCTGCAGTGATACCGCCTCTGAAACCCAAGGAGGGGTCGCCATGAGTCGGATCTGACTCCATGGCAGTGAGGAGTTTGGGTTGTTTTTTTTTGTTTTGTTCTGTTTTTTATTCAATGTAAATTAACTCTTAAATCTCTAAATAAATTGTAGTATATCAAGTAGGCGATGCATATTTGAAAGCGATTACTCTCTGGATTAAAGTTTATGACTTCATTCCTTCCTCAAACATAATTCCTTGTTATCAGCTACTAATGGCATCGCCCAATTTATTATTCAGGCTGCCACTCCCAAGGAATATTAGCAAGTATCAAGATACAGAAACCAACACAGATTAAACTCAACAGAAGGCTGGCAGTTAGGGCCCCTACATAAACACAACAGAATTTTCCAAATTAGTAAGTATACTCTCTAATAACTAGAAACTGACTATAATTTCATTTATATTACTAAAACCTTGGAAGGAATGTTGGGCAATCTAAATCTACTTCTGTAGTGATACTGCCTCGGAAACCCAAGGAGGGGTCGCTATGCGTTGGACCCGACTCAATGGCACACCAACAACAACAACACTAAAACCAATAACCAAAAGATAAATAGAAGTAACTGCAGACTGACCAAAGTTCATAAAAAGAATCTCTTTCAAAATACTTTTGAATGTTTAAAGAATCCATGAAAATATATGTTCACTAAATATGGTAAATTCTAGTAATCATGGTGGCCTATAGGAGGGTAGGATATTTATTTTCATAGTATACTCTTCTTTTTGTGGAATTTATTTTACTATGTGAAATGAAAACTAAAGAATTGAAGGAAGAGTGAAATCACAGCACATGGATCATGGATGGGGAAACAACATATCCTCTATTCACTTGAACAAGGATGTGAAAAATATTTTAAAATACAATTAACACTGTTTTTATAATAGCAGAAGCCCAGAGAAATCACAATAGATTAGGTACTCAGTGATAGCAATGTTTTTCAAGCAGGCATCCAAGACCTACTGCCATACTTTAGAATCCGACAAATGGTACAGTATTAATAACAGACAGACTACTTTGGAGCATAGCAAATTATTGAATTTCTTATGAATCTCAGCTTCCTCATGTACAAGACTTAAGAGTTACTGCACATGAACTGCTTAGGAAAGTGCTTGGCACACTGAAGGCCTTCAATAAAAGGTAACTATTACTATGTTTTCTATAAATTTTACCTTATCTTTATTGCCTCAGAATCTATAAAGGCAGCCTGGCACATAGCAGATGCTCAATCAATATTTGTTGGTCTATGAGGCTTGTTAGCTCTCCACAACCCACTTCATTCAAAATTAAAAAGATACATGCAGAAAGAATACAGCCTTGAATGTGAAGATTTACTAACTGTGTCAGATATAAATCCCAGAAAAGAAACACTTCTTTCAGAAACACAAACTTCTCACCAAAGTTCTTAAGTCTTACATACAAAAAATAGAAAAGCATGTAATCAGATATATGTTAAAGAAATCCAAGAACATATTTTCTCCTCTTACAAGTACAGAGTCCCTGGATGGTGACAATGGTTAATGGGCACTGTTGCTAATCAAAGAGATAGAGGTTCAAGTTCAGCCAGAGATGCTAAGAAGAAAGGCCTAGTAATCTACTTCTGAAAAAATACTCATTGAAACATCAATGGATCTCAGTTCTATTCTGACATGCATGAGGTCACCTAAGTCAGAGTGTTGACTTGATGGCAACTGGTACTGATTTCACAAATATGAGCTGGTTTAACACATAAATGGTATTATCAAGAAAGTATGTTAATAAAACCCTTTGGGCTCAGAAAAATTATAAAGAATTCAAAAATAAGTTATTTATTGGTCAATTATAAAATTGCTTTCTAAAACTGAAATAAGAAATAAGTTAGGTGCACAGACTGACTTTTTTCTTTTTTAGAAGCAGACTTAAAAGTGAAAAAGATTACACAGAAAAATGGCATTATGAGGACAAAGAGAAATTAGAATGACACAGATATTTTAGCACATGCTTAAAATGTATGGAATACAATTAAAAAAAAAAAAACTTTAAAAAGCATCAATATGAGGAAGTTTGGAAGGCCGAAGAGATAAAAGGATAAACAAAAAGGCTAAAGGAATGGCAGAGTCACCGCTTTCAATTCTACACCTTGAAAAAGTGTTTCCTAACTTTTAAATAAAAACAGTAGGAGACAACCACTTTACTGCATAAACTATTAAATCCCAAAGTTTTATTGTTTTAAAACGTTAAACTACTAGTGCTAATCACTACCTAGTTTCTTCTCTCATAATAAACCCACTACCATAGAGTTGATTCTGAATCACAGCAACCTAGCAAACCCCACAGCATTTCTATGACTGCAAATCTTTACAGAAGCAGAATGCCTCATCTTTCTCCCAGGAGTGGCTGATGCGTTCAAACCACCCACCTTTTGGTTAGCACCCCAATGCCTTAACCGCAGCACCAGCAGAGCTCCTTAACAGGGACGGGCTAGAGAAGGAAAAAGGAGCTCTGGAAGCATAGTGCCTAAGGCATTTGACTGCTAACCAGAAGGCTGGTGGTTCAAACCCATCAGCCACTCCTTCGAAGGAGATACCACTTCGGAAACCCAAGGAGGGGTCACTATGAGTTGGGACTGACTCGATGGCAATGAGTTTGGTTTGGTTTGAAGAAGGAAAATAGTGCTATATAGCATATATTTTTTAATGTTTTTATAATACACAAAAATACACTACAGAATAGAAACAAGCAACATAAAAAAAGAACCAACAATTTTTTTATCCTGACACAACCAATCTTAATATTTTTTTTTTTAACCAATCTTAATATCTTGTATTTTTTCCCTGCACTTCTTTCCTATGCATCTTGTTTTTAGATATAAATCTACTATATATTTAACTTGGAGATTTACTGTTTTTAATATAAGCAATTTCTACATAATCTTTAATCTTTACAATCACACACATCATACAGAAATATTCAATAAGTAAGGAAATATTCTGTAACTGTAACACTTTGAAGTAAAGTCCTCTTCCTGGTCAGAGGCTGTTGATAGTTTTTTTAGTTTTCATACTCCAAAAAAAACCAAACTCACTGCCATCAAGTTGGATCTGACTCATAGCAACCCCTCCTTAGATTTCTGAGGGGGTATCACTACAGAAGTAGATTGCTCAATCTTCCTTCCAAGAAGTGGCTGGTGGGTTTGAACTGCCAACCTTCTGGTTAGCAGTCAAATGCCTGAGGCACCATGCCACTGCCTCTTATTCGTGATTATTTCATACAATTGAAATTCCTCTTGAATTTATTTATGCTAGGTAAGTTCTTAGTTACACACTAATTTGGCTCCAGTTGTTTCATAACTTTTCAACCCATGTAACTACCAATCTTGAAGGCAGAAAGATATACAACAGAAATTAACTGAATGTCATTCATATCTGAAGACTTTACCATGTACTAATTATCAAATAATCTAGAGTCTAAAAGTAGATAGTCACCCAGATGGGTAATTCAAATTATCCATCAACAATTGGCTCTATTTCTTTAATCTCTAAAATTCAGGTAAAGGTCATAATTAACATACAAATATCTAAAGTTATTGTTTCCCTGAAGTTTACAACTATATGTGTTCATCATCTTGTTTTCTGATGTTTGTCTGAGTGTTTCTTAGTTATGACAAAGGAACTGAAAAACTCTTTAACATGTAAGAATGGAAGAAAAACCAGAGATTCCACTTTCTTTGTAACTCCTTGGTACTACCGTACCTTTTACATAACCATTAGAAGACCCTTACAGTAAATGCAGTTAGTGTATCCAGTTAGTGCCAACACATAAGTCTAAAGTGCTTCAAGATATAACTCTCTAAATGGACTCAACTTTTACTATCTACTACAAATGATTGGGAATTGAGTCGTTCAGTGATATGTCAAGATATGGGCTTTTCTATGCCCATGTGGATTCTCAATTTGTAACGCCAAGGATAAATAACATGTAACAAAAATTTCTGAAGTACTTAAGTTGAGGGCAATAAGTCATCTTCTCTCAATGAGGTCACCAAGAAATTAATCAAATGCTGCCATGAGGGAAGGTGTCACTTAAAATTATTACTACTCCTTCATTAAAAAAAAGACCAGGTTTGCTGGTCTGATAGAGCCTGGTGAGACCTCTGAGACTATGGCTCCTAGTTACCCTTCAGGTCTGGAACTGCACTTATTCCCATGGCTTCCTGCCAAACAACAGACAGATATATGGGGTGAACATTTACATCAGGTGGATAGACTCCTTGGAGTGATCAATCGTGGGAGAACAGAAGGGCAGTGTTTGCACAGGGAAACAGCTGAGGGGGTGGGGAGAACAGGAGTGCATGGGAAGGAAGGATACAGGGAAGAGGTAACTACTGGGAGGAAGTGGGAAGAGAGCTGTTACATTATGGGGAATTGCAGACAATGTCATAAAACAAAATGCTGTATGGAAAATGAATTTGCTCTGTAAACTTTCACCCAAATCACAGCAAACATTAAAAAAAAAAAAAAAACTACTACTACTCCTTTGAAGCAATGTTTCATTTCTTTTGGACCTCTTTGATCAGTCCCTTACCATCTATTTAAAGATTATCCTTTAATACTCAAAAACCTCAAAAAGTTTTATTATACTGATGCAATCAATTGTCTCAGCAAATTAGCTAGACCTCCTCTCCATTTCTATATTTCAAATTGTTCTGTGTCTCAGATGCCTGTAACAAAAACCACAAACATATATGTCAAGGAAAAAAAGAAGAACAAAATCAACTCTAGATTATCCATACTAAGAAGAGAACAACAGCTGGGCAGACTCTAAAAATATTTTAGAAAGAATTTTTGAGCAGCTATTTTTGGCAGCAGATTTCTAATTATGTTTCATTTACATCAATATGCTTAAGGATACACCACCAGCTGTGGGAAGAGAAAGGAAAACCCTAAGAAAATACAAAGCACAAAAAAGGAAGACAAGCTAGGATAAAACACAGACTGCACATGATCTGAGTAAGAAATCATAGCAACATGGACATAAGCAAATAATGCCTACCCTTAACCTCCCCATTTTAATTTGCTAATGGATTGCTAAATACTCCAATGTAAACAAAAACAAAAAGCAGTATTAAGTACCATATCTTGAAATTCTGAAGATGGAGGGGATAGCCCATTGATTGGTTTAAAACAGTGTTTGGGAAGGAATCATGGACCCACTTAAAAACTGGATGAAAAATGCACATTATCAATTTCACATACATCTTTCCCGGAGAGTAAAAGATGACCATGGACTGACAAAGCACAGCCATGCATCACCCCGGAAGGGTAAAAGTAATAGCCTTAAAAGGTTCCAAAGAAATATATTCATAGGCACTTAATACATACTATGTTAAACATCAAGTTTATGTTGTTGTTGTTATGTGCCGTCAAGTCAGACCCAACTCATAGTAGACCCCTCCTTGGGTTTCCAAGGCAGCATCACTATGGAAGTAGATTGCCCCATCTTCCTTCTGCCAGCCCTCTGATTAGCAGTCAAGTGCCTTAGGCACTATGCTACCTGAGTTCCCACCAAGTTCATAGTAAAATGTTATACCATACTGTTTTAAATCTGCATGAAGTCCCCACTGTCCTTACCATATAGTCCCAAATTTTTCAAGAGCCTCCACAAGGTCTGCTTCCACCACAGATTCACAGAGTCCTCGAACATGGACAACAGGTGAAACAGAAACTTTATGATGGCTTCCACCTGCCTCCTAGCAAGAGAAAATAATTTCTAATTAAAACCTTTAAAAGCCTAAATTGCATCTTTTAGTAAATTCAACTCTGTATTAAAAAGCAAACATTACAGGAAAAAAAAAAAAAAAACTCAACCAAATTGCCAATTTATGAGTTAGCGAAAGGACCTGCAAGTAAAATCATCTAAATGTTTAGTTTGGAAATTTAAATTTCTAAAAAGGAAGTGTTCTATCACAAAAGGAAGTACAAATAAGTTATTTTAAACTTATTTCCACTTCCAAGGAATTTCAGGAAAAAAAAAATTGGCATGTTGTATATTTCCATTATTGAAAATACATCTTATTCTCATGATTTCATAGTTTCATTTCCACAAAACAAAATCTCAAGTATAGTCATACCCTGCTATGGGGTGGCAGGGAATAGGTTCCAGGACACCCTTTACCCCCTGCCCTCCACCTCTATTCCCCCATACCAATATCCATGGATGCTTAAGTCCCTTACAAAAAATGGTATAGTATTTGTGTATAATCTAAGCACATTCTCCAGTATACTTTAAATCTTCTCTAGATCATTTATAATACCTAATAAAATGTAAATGCTATGAAAATAGCACTTCAGACTCCCTTTTAGCCTTTGAGGGGCTGCTTTGACCACTTAATTGCTATCCTCCCTCACCCCCAAATATTTTCAATCCACAGTTGACTGAATCCAGAAATTGAGGGCCGACTATAGTCTAAATGAAAAGTCCCAATTTGAACTTTTTTCTTACTATAAAGATGATATACTCTTTCCTGTAGTAGATTTCCATCATCCTTATTAAATTATCTAGTCCCATTGTAACTTGAGGTTACTCAGGAGTGTACACATGACAATTTAAAGGCACGAGTACAATCTCTACTGATAAACAAAGAGTGTGCAAAACTGCAAGCCTTCTTGGGCTTCTATGGAGTATTGTGTATCTTCGAGTATGCTCAGCAAGATGTTATAAAATATATGATCTTGAAGTTTATTTTAAAAGGAAATTTCTGCATGACACACACACAGACCAGTGGAACAGAACTGAAAACTCAGAAATAAATCCAATGACCTATGGTCAGCTGATTTTTGACAAAGAGCTAAAACCCATTAAATGGACAAGAGGTGGTCTCTTTAACAAACGGTGCTGGCAAAATTGGATATCCATTTGCATAAAAATGAAACAAGATCCGTACCTCCTATCATACACAAAAACTAACTTCAGATGGATCAAAGACTGAAATGTGAAACTTAAAACTATAAAGTTCCTCAAGGAAAAAATAGCAACAAATTTAGGGGCCCTAATTTATGGCATAAACAGACTGTCAAGCATAACCCAAAATGCACAAACAGCAGAAAATAAACTAGATGAATGGGACCTTCCAAAAATTAAATTTGTATGTGCTTCCAAATACTTCTCCAAAAGAGTCAAAAGAAAACCTACAGAACATTGAGAAATATTCGCACTCATTAGCCATTAGAGAGATGCAAAGCAAAATAACAATGAGATATCATCTTGCCCCAGCACTAATAGCAAAGTTTATCAAGACAGAAAATAACAAATGCTGGCAAGGAGGTAGAGAGATTGTGATTCTCATACACTGCTGATGGGACTGTAAAATGATACAACCACTATGGAAAGCAGTATGGCGATTCCTTAAAAAGGTAGAATTAGAAATGCCATTTGATCCAGCAGTCTCAGTACTAGGTATGTATCTTAAAGAAGTGAGAGCCAGGACAAGAACAGATATATACACACCCATGTTCATTGCAGCACTATTTACAATATAGCAAAAAGATAAAAACAACCGAGATGCCTATTAACAGAAGAATGGATAACCAAACTATGGTATGCATACACAGTGGAATACTATGCAACACTAAAAAATACGTAGAATCTGCAAAACACTGCATAACATGGATGAACTTAGAGGACATTATGCTGAGTGAAATAAATCAATCATAGAAGGACAAATAGAGTATTAGTTCATTATTGTAATAAGTCAAGGAAAGGTTTATATACGGAAGGAAATTTTCTTTGTTGGTCACCAGGCATGGGAGGGGAGGGGAGTAAACACTGCAAAAACAAAAAAAATTAAATTAAAAAAACAAGTCAAGGAAACTTTCTTTGTTGGTCTAGCTAGGGGTGGGAGGGGAGGAGAGGGAACACTGCAAAAATTTTAAAAAACAGTAATAATAAAAGGAAATTTCTATGAGAATTACTTTGGAAATACAAATAACTCTCTTTCTTATTCAAGTTCTATTAAGATCTACCTTAATATTTACCTTTAAATCATGTCCCCTTTTCCTTAACTTTAATAATTTCTTATCCTTTCTGTAGCAGGTTTTGTGGAAGAAAAAAAAGAAAGAAAAAGCCCTGGAGTTATCTCCAAACATAAAACTAATATATTAAAGATGTTTTTGTCAAACTATAGTCACCCTACCCCTAGCTTAAAGAGTTCTCTACACTTCCTCTTTCCCCAGAAATAACACTCTTTTTCAAACAATACATTCTTATCTCTACCTATACTATATACTGATGATAAATTTTAAAATCACCTGTAGACATCTTTTACGTACACTGAAATTATCTCTTTTAAACATCATACTTTGCATGTTTCCTAAACTGGTTGATAAATCAGTACTATATTGTGTACTCCGGTGCTTTGGTAGCGTAGTGGCTAAGGCACTTGACTGCTAACCAGAAGGCCAGCGGTTCAAACCCACCAGCCACTCCCCAGAAGGAAGATGGGGCAATCTACCTCCATAGTGATACTGCCCTGGAAACCCAAGGAGGGGTCGCTATGGGTCAGGTCTGACTCAACGGCACATAACAACAACAACAATATTGTGTACTCCATCCATACATAAATACTTTGATCACATCTTCACTGGTATAGGGAGTCTTCTTCTAATCCTCTCTCATACAGAAGACCCAATTTTTTTTCCATTTGAAATGTTTAGTTATCTAGGTCTCTCCTGATCTATCATATCTATTACAGGACTAAAAAGACCAACTTGGAATTCAATACTTCACTGAACACACACAGACCTATTTCCAAATGATTATCCAGTCTCTCCTTGAACACCTCTGATGACAGGAAACACTACCTCTGAAGATAATCCATCATATTTTTAGAAAATGCTTCATAATATACATTCAAAAAGTCCTTATCTTGAAAGACAACAAATGGAATGACATATATAAAACATCAAGAACAGTGCTAGATATAGTTACTGAACAAGGGTTCAATAAATATTAGTTGGTACCCCCAACTCTCATCTATGTTTCCTTCTTCCACATAAAAACCTTCCAATTACATATAATGATTTCTTTTATCACATCTAAATTTACCTTTCAGGCTAAATGTCCCATTTCCTTCCATCACTTCTCTTAATGACATGATCTCCAGTGTCTTCCTCCATCTTGATAATCTTTCTCTGGATACATTATATTGTATCAACATAGTACCAGAAATGAGTATAGTATTCCCAGATGTAATAAGATTTTCTCTTCCCTAACTCTGATTACTTCCTGTAGACCAAGGACAAACCCGTTTTAAGGTACTTGCAAATATATTTTAACTCTCAGTATGTACTAGTGGTACAACAGTTAAGTGCTTGGGTGCTAACTGAAAGGTTAGCGGTTTGAACAACTCAACGACTCTATGGGAGAAAGACCTGGCAATCTGTTTCCATAACACCCCAGAAAACTCTATGGGCATTTCTACTCTGTCACACAGGGTCACTATGAGTCAGATTTTATTCAGCAACACCCAACCCAACTTAAAGAGTTCACCTACATTAGAGACAAGTATTGATTTGGATGAAGGGAAAAGCAATATACCAAAAGCAAGTGACCAACAAAATAACACTAAGGAAAAGGAACACACAGAGAGGTGTACAAGAGGTATAGACAAGAAAAATGAACACTCTTACATATACAATATTGCATTATCAGTAATAACAAACATTAATCTAGAAGTGGATATATAGGTAGAAAGCCTAAATGATCCAGTATGTCTAGGCAAAAGGGAATATACTCATGACCATATATAAATTTGGCAGACATGGTATTTCTACATACATATTTGTATGTGCCATAAGATCGTCCATATATATAATAAAGCTAATGGAGCAAAGTTATAACAACTTCTTAGCCACAGCCAAACACCCTGAGATAACGAGTTACCCCATGGGCTTGGGACTATGATTGCATGAGGACATCAAGCTCAACTGGTGTAACATAGTATACAAAAATATTGTTCTACATCCTACTTTGGTGAATAGCAACTGGGGTCTTAAAAGTTTATGAATGGCCATCTAAGATGCAACAACTGGTCTCTCCTCACCCAGCACAAAGAATAAAGAAAACCAAGGATGCATGAAAACAATTAATCCAAGGGGCTAATAGACCATAAGAACTTCATTCAGCCTATGTGACCCTGAGACCAGAATAACTAGATGGTGCCAAGCTACCACTGTCAATCACTCAATGAGAGATCAAAATAGGAGATCCTGGATAGAGTGGGAGAAAAACATGGAACAAAACTCAAAATCATAAAAGAAAGACCAGGCTTACTGGTCTGATAGAGACTGGTGAAACCTCCAAGACTATGGAGCCTTGTCGCCCTTCGGGCTTGAACTGAACTCACTCCTGTGGCTTCCAGCCAAACAACAGACAGACATACAAAGTGAACATTTACACTAGGTAAGTATACTCCTTAGAACAATCAACCGTGGGAGATCAGAAGGGGAGAATTTCTACAAGGTAGTAACTCAGAGGGCAGGAATGCAAGAAAGGAGAACACAAGGAAAAGGCAAACACAGAGAAAGTGGGAAGAGAGTTGTTACGTTATGGGGATTGCAATCAATGTCATGAAACAAAACATATATGAACTACTGTATGGAAAATGAATTTGCTCTGTAAACTTTGACTCAAATCACAATTTAAAAAGTTAACATATATATTTTTTCTTTTTTTACTACATTAAAACATTCATTTTTGCTCAGTCTTTCTTCTTTTAAAGACATAGTAGATCATATCCTAAATGTGGGAAACCCTTTAATTTTCCTATTCAAAATTTTTAGGTTCACTTGATCATGTAACAGAGCAAAAACTAGAAAGAACAGCCATATAATTCAAATAACTTTTTTTTAAATAATCTTTTTTTTTTTTTGGCCCTTGTATTACATAATTCTTTGGTTTTTCCTGCCCAGAATCCCTTCCCCCTTCTTCTGGTTGAAAAAAAAAAAAAAAAAAAAAATCCCCTTAACTCTGTATTATTCCTGCAGTATTCTCAATCACTGTTATGCCTCCCCAACCTCAGAGGTGACCCAATGATTAGTTAAGAGGGGAGTGGAAAATCATAACCCAGAAATGGTTGATCAGATGGGATACAAACTCGGATAGTGGTGGAGAGAGGGTGTTCTTTTGATTTGCTAGCTATGAGAGTGTAAGTCTAGCTTCATCATTACATAGAGAATGAAACCAACATAGAGGAAGGCAGAACTGAAACATGGAAAGAGACAGAATCAAGTCCCTATGACATAATCTAAATCCCTAGATCCAGCTATGTCTGAAACTTGTGCCACAATTTGGCTTTCCCGAGTTAGAAAGATCAATAAATTCCCTTTCCCCCATTTTTGTAATGCTTAAGCTCATCTGAGTTGTTTCTGTGGCTACAACTGCAAACCCTGAAAGTTGTATTCAATTCTATGGAGAAAAGAAATTGCACTAA